TGTAATGTAATGTAATGTAATGTATCAACACATACATTCGTGTATACGTATTTGCGTATATACGTATACACATGTTACAAAGATATGGATTGGCAGAGTGACTCACACATCCTGAAGTTAAAGTCCAAAATCCCTACATTGGAAAAGGACTACGAAGAGGTCGGCATTGAAACAGCAGAAGGCCAGAAGACTTCAAGTCTTGTGCATCTGCCCGTGCCTCTTCGGTTTTGGAATCTCCGGCTGGCTGCGTAGTAGTCGGGTTCACATTGGGTTTCAAAGGCAAGATGTTCTTACCTCGGGTTGAAGGTTATCAACGTACTTGGTCAAGACCACCTGCACCTTCAGGCGAAGGCGAAGAGGAGGGCTACGGAGACGAGTTCTGAGGCTGACGGCCACAGGCTGTCATCCACAGCCGGGAAGTTCACTGCATGATTTCTTGAACGCAATTATAGCTTCGAGAGACACACGAGGATTGTGTTCAGGGCTTCGCACCGTGAGTTTCAGAAATCTGTCTGTGTCCCCACCTGAGTGCCAGCCGCCGAAGGGCTTGGCAAGAGAAACTGGTCTTGTCATCCGCGACGGTGGAGCCTGCACGTGACTGCACGGAAAAAGCTGGCTTTGGGATGGGAATCCTTTTGCAAGGGCGGGGCCACCATGAGGCTTTGGGAGACCGGGCGTGTGAATCCAGGAAGGAAAAGACAGGCCTTAACCCAAGAGCCAATAGAGAGACTATATTCAATCCTGCGACTTGGAAGTTTGAAGGGCCTCGTAGGAACCGTGAAGCTTGAGAAACCCATTCTCAAGCTGAGCCTGCAGCTGGTTTGAGAGTTCTGAGGCCGAGTCCTACAACTCGGATTGCGACTCCTTTTGTGCCTCGGAGTGCATGACGGTTCATCGACACGATGTCTTGAGTCTTGAGCCCGAAAAGGGTTGAAGCCTACCAGCAAGTGACACTAGCCGCCTGCAGCAAGCTTTGCTTGAGTTGCGAAGTGTATGTTGCCCAGCCGGCAAAGCGATTGCTGCCCTTCGTGGTGGAGTGAGGTGTGGTGCGGAACCCGCTTGACCGCTTCCTTAGTCACTGGAGGCCGCAGCGAATTGCTGTTTCGAATCTTCCATCTGCTGCGCGGCATCCTCCCACGGGCATTTTGGTAGAGTTATGAGTCACCAGTCAGAGATGGTCCAGTGCAGTGTTTAGGGCTTTCGGATCTGGGACTCGCCCAAAGGGTGACTCGAGCTCTGAACTGCGGCACAGGGGCCTGAACAGGTGGAGACATGTGCAGGACAAAGCCGAGAAGTGTTCCGCCGAGTTCCTGGAAAATTACACGAAGGCGGAGCTGTGCCTCTTCGATGCCACGAGCTGTGAGTCTTCAAGATCCAAAGCCAGAAAGGACAAAAAACCCCAAAGGCAAGAACCTTTGGAGTGTCTGGGGATTTGCTCCTGGCTACACGCATACGTTTCAGGAGTTCAGAAGGGCTGGACATGTCAGGAGAAGCTGACCCGGGCGCGCGCACAAGACGTGCTGCTCGAAGACTGCCACTTTGTGCCTCAGGTGCTGCCTTGGGTTTTGGGTTTGTTTCTGGAACTTCGGTTCACAAAGGACTTAGGGAGAACTTTTTTGGAGAGGGCATGCAGTGGAGCGACGCCTGATAGGTTCGGAGTATACATATCCCACACAAGCCGAAACCCACAACCCTAAACCGTGCAACCCAACGGAAGGGCCAATGTCCCAAACAAGCACTCCGGTGATTCTATTCTAATCGATACCGCCCCGCTCAAAACCTGGCACCCGAAACTTAGGCATCGCAGCTCCCACTCAGACTCGAGCCAAGACTGCACAGGTCCAGTATACCTACAAGAAGGGTGCCCTGGCTTGGTTTAATGATGCAGCTTCAAGAAATAGGCTACCTCGTTGAGGGGCCACAGGAAGGATCTTTCTATTTATTGGGGTCCGGGAGCTGGCGGACAGTTCAAACGAGTGGTGACAGGTGGCTTGGAGGGGGGTTTTAAACTGTCCTGTGTGAGGATTCTTGAGACTCGCCAGCCTGCAAAGCTTCACCGAAGTATGTTTGCCAGCTTCACTACAACGTCTTTTGGTAACATGGCTTCGAAGTTACACCACCGCAACACTCGAATCGGAACTAGACACTGCCCTGAACCCCAGAAGCCCCCAGCGGCCCCCTTAAGATGCCTAGGTGACTCCTCCGCCCCTCGCATCTGCAAGCACATTCTGAAGCTCGAGGAGCTCCATGAAGGACCCTTTCTTGGGGTCTGCGCTTCACAGACTTCAGGGTTTACAAGATGTAGTCGGGCTTAGGAAGTTTTGGGTCTAGGCCTAGGTGGCGATACCCAGCCGTTTCCCAGAAGGTTTCGACCTGCTCATGGCGAGTTACAACCTGACGAAGGTGCGGCGCCGTCGTTTACCGTGCCTGTGAAATTGAAGGTGTTGCGACTGAAAAGTTGGAATCCGCGACCGTACCTGTTCAAGCGCTTCCTCACCCCACAAGTCACAAGCATTTAATCCGCTTCCTAAAAGTCCGAACGTCTCCCACTAGACGTTCCAGGTGAAGCTGGGCAAGCGAAAAACTCGCACGAGCAGCTCGGTTGAGTTTCGGCCGTAGACCGCATTGCCTGGATAGCCTCTGCTCCGGCCCCGTGACCTTCCACCGTTCCTCTCTCGAGGCCCAGCATGCAACATCACACCCACAGCAGAAACGCTACAGATGATCAAGGACGGAGGGGCGTCTGTGAGGTTCTGATAGGTAGTTCGGCATTGCCCTCGTGACTGCGGTCGCTGTCTCGGGACACTCGTTCAGGGAGGTGTGCTCCAGTGCAATCTCGTGTCTTTGTCACTCAGGGTCTTGGGAGGTGGGCGACAGATTTGGCATGGACTTGGGTCTGAAGATCTGCATCAAGATGGGATGCGCGAAGATTTGACAGGATTTCTATGCAGAGGACTACAAGGCTGGACGAACCCCCAAGATGGCGAGACTACAACTGCAGGGGTGAACACACACACACACACACACACACACGCGCGCACTCATGCGCACTCACAAGTTCAACATGGTCAGTTATTGGTGGGATGATTTGTGCATTCTCTGTACGCGCACCGAGTTTCAATAGTTCCCACCGCGGCCGCGCCTCGCCCGACTCACAGTGTCACCATTGCCACACGAAAAACTCTGGACACAGAAGTTTGAATACATAACCTTTGCAGTTAATTGTTCTGGCTTCTGGGGTTTGTCAACGCTCTATCCAGACAATAAACCCTGGAGTTACTTGTTTTGTCGGGGTATAGGAAAGAGACACTACCTTTAGAGTTGATTGTCGGTCTTGTTCCGCACCTATGTCCGGACAATTAGCTCCGGATCTAATTGCTGTTTGCGGGTTGGGGTCTCTTTGAGGGAATCAACTCTGGATTTCATTATTTACTTGGGGTCCTTCGAGGGGACTTAACTCCGGATCTATTTCGAAGCCCTGGTTCTGCGGGGTTGGGACTCGGACTTGAGACTTTTGCCCAAACTTTCGAATCCATAGCCAACCCAGAATCTGCAACGCCCCCTTCTCGGATCCAGAAAGGGGTTTTGGAAATGGGAGCGTTTAGCCGAGATTTGGGGCCGAAACGAAGTCTTAATATTTTCCGGAGCACCGAAAAACAATTAAATCCGGACTTAATTCTTTTTGACGACCGGAGGTGTGGAACCGAAACGAAATACCGATAGCTTGCTACTTTACGAAGCGAGGTAGCGGTAGCTTACTCTTTTCCGGAGCACGGAAAAATCACATCAGGGATTAGTTGTTTTTCAAGACCCGAGATTTGGAACCGAAGCGAAGTAACGATGGCTTGCTACTTTCCAGAGCACCGAAAACAGTTACATCTGGAGTTTGCAAAACCAAGCATATCCCTGCAAGAATTAACTCTAAATTTAGCGTTTTTCGGGTCCTGGGGTTCGGACCCTGCCCCTGACGGACAATCATCTCCGGATTTAATTCTTTTTGACTCTTGTCTCCGTTGGCTTCCATTACCACACTTTCTGGACAAAACTTGTACTTTTCAAGATCCGATCCCTTTGGTCCAGGCCTTCGGCTACTGAGCTTCCCAGTGCGGGGATGGGCGCGACATTGAGATCAGATTTCAGGTCGCAAGGCCCGGGTTTGCATGGAGCCCACGTAGGACCAGCAATGGAGGGATGTAGAATTACTAGGGTTGGGGGTTCAAAGTTTCGACTTTGCGGTCAAAGTACCTGCTTGTACACCGCATTGCCCTGTCTCGTGTTACATCGCTGCCTGTGCTTGCAGACTGCGAGGAAGCCAAAAGACTTCTCCCATTGCAGGGCTGATTTCCTGTATTGCAGAGTAAATGAATACAGCAGGTGCACGTATGTAAACATCTCATATTCTGCATGTGTATATGTGTGTATATTCGTATATCTCCATCATTCCCATCTATCTCTTTATGTGTTGGTGTTTTGTGTGTGTATATGTTTGTCAATGCAGTTTTCTGCTACCAGAATATCGTAACCCCACAACCCTATTCCAGATCTGCCAATGTTCACTCGACTGCATTGTGAGTTTACTGGGAAAGTCCATTCCACACCAGGAAGTCTGCGCTTTATATCGACTTACTACATTACCGGCATACAGGTGGATATAATATCCAACTATCTTCGATCTATCTATCTGCCTACTTATCTATCTGCCCATCTGTCTGCACAGTACATGCATGCACACACTGGTCTAAGCATGGATGATGTCACCGACCTCTTAGCCTGTGTACATACAAACTGAATAGAACCTTGATGCAGTATATGTTACGGCACCGTACAAAGCACATGTGCATATGTGTTCGCCAATGTGAATAAATACAGTCTTGCGACAGTCAGTGTAACATCGTGGGCACTTCATAGCAAGTCGCATTGGTGCTTGCGCAAGGCCCAGTCCGGAACCCATGTTTGTGTCGTCGAGGGTGTTTGGAGTGGACGTATCCATGCTTCCCGTGCCGAGATGCTAAGAAGTAGTGCATTGAATTCACCCCTACAGTTCCGACGACTAAATCCCGTTGCCTTCAGGGGATTCTGAGCAGCTAATCCACCTTTGGAGCACGACGAGACACTGACTTGCTGAGATGCCTTTCAACCGCCGATGCCCTATCAAGATTGAGTTTAACACACACTTGTTACGGGCCATGGGTGCCTCGAGCTCGGTGCCGTGCGACTGTTCTCGGGGCGTGTCGCGGCTTTTGGGCGGATCCTCCACTGGAGCTTGCACCCTCCGGATCATCCAAATCACGGATGTCTACGTCCTGGACAACTTCCCGAGCCTGCGAACCTTAATCAAGGAGAAGTCCCTTGAGTTGCAAAGGAAATGTGGCGGGCAAACCAT